ATGACAAACCTTGACAGCATCTTAAAAAGCAGAGACATCACCTTACCAACAAAAGTCCACATAGTCAAAACTATAGTTCTTTCTGTAGTGATGTATGGAAGTGAGAGCTGGATCATAAAGAAGGCCGACCACTGAAGAATAGATGCTTTTGAATTGTGGTCCTGGAGGAGACTCTTGAGAGTTCCCTGGACTGCAAAGAGATCAAACCTATCCATTCTGAAGGAAATCAACCCTGAGTGCTCACTGGAAGGACAGATCCTGAAGCTGAGGCTTCAATACTTTGGCCATCTCATGAGAAGAAAAATCTCCCTGGAAAAGACCCTGATGTTAAGAAAGTGTGAAGGCAAGAGGAGAAGGGGATGGCAAAGGACAAGATGGTTGGACAGTGTTATTAAAGCTACCAACATGAATTTGACCAAACTTCGGGAGGCAGTGGAAGACAGGAAGGTCTGGTGTGCTCTGGTCCATGTGGTCATGAAGAGTAAGACACAACTTAATGACTAAACAACAACAGCAGTACCTTGTGGAATCTGGAGACTGTAGTTTTGCTAATGTAGCCTAAAGTAGCATTTGAATTTTTTGTAGCCACATCACACCATTGGCTCATATTCAGTTTGTGATCTATAGTTACTCCAAGATTCTTCTTGCTCATAGTATTGCTGAGCCAGGCATCCCCCATCTTGTAACTGTGTATTTGGTTCCTTTTTCCAAGATGCAGTACTTTGCACTTATCCCTATTGAATTTAATTCTGTAGTTTTCAGTCCAGTCCTCAAACTATAAAGACCATTTTGAATCTTGTTTCTGTCTTTCAGGGTGTTAGCTATTCCACTCAATTTTGTTTTATCCACAAATCTGATTAGCATTCTCTGTATCCCCTGGTCCAGATCATTAATAATAATATTGAATAGCACTGGGCCCAGAACTGAATTCTAGGGTACTCCACTTGTCACTCTTCCCAGTTTAAAAGGGAGCCATGAAGCATTACCCTCTGAGTAAGATTCTGTAGCCAACAGTGTATCCACCTGACAGTTGTTCTATCCAGCCCACACATAGTTAATCTGCTAATCAGAATACCATGGAGCACTTCGTAAAACCTTTGCTGAAGTCAAGATATAAGACTTCTATAGCATTCCCTTTGTCTATCAGGGAGGCAATCCAATAAAAAAAATGAAATCAAAGTAATCTGGCAGGATTTGTTCTTGACAAATCCGTGTTGGCTTCTAGTTATTACGGCTTTGTTTTCTAAGTGTTTGCATAGTGACCACTTTATAATGTGTTTCAGAATTTTCCCTGGAATTGATGTCAGACTGACTGGTCTGTAATTCTCAAGTTCCTCCTTTTTGCCCTTTTTGTAGACAGGGACATTAACCCTCCTCCAAACATCTCATATCTCACCCATTTCCCATGATTTCAAGAAAATAATATATAGTGTTTTTGAGGGTTCTTCAGCCAGTTCCTTCAATACTCTTAGATGCAGATCATGCAGCCCTGGACATTTGAATTCAAAGTAGTAAGGTATCTCTTGACTGGTTGTTGTAGGTTTTTGGGCTGTTTGGCTGTGTTCCAAAGGTTTTTCTTCCTAACATTTCACCAGTCTCTGTGGCTGGCATCTTCAAAGGACAGGACATCAGAACACAGACAAGGTTCTAACTGAGATGAATCAAAAGACCTTAGTACCTAATCAAATGAAGTCACTTTTTGCATCATTCCAAAATAGGACTGTTAGAGGGCAAGACTCACCATTCTGTGGAGGTTAACTCGAAAATTCATGTTGTCATCATGTAGAAAAGCATTTGCATACTGGTCCTATTAAAGAAAGAAAAACATTACAATAAAGTTAACGTAATTTTAATTCTAATCCAGCACTAAAAAACAGCTCTGACACACACAACTACATTCGTGCCCTGCTTTACGATTATCCCGTTTAACGACGAATCCACTTTATGAAGATGTTTTTGCGATCGCAAAACAATGGTTTGAATGGGGTTCTTCTGCTCTGTGATGATCGGTTTCCTGCTTCGGGAACCAATTTTTGCTTTACGATTATCAAAAACAGCTGATCGTCGGGGTTCAAAATGGCCGCCGGCTGAAGAAAATGCCCCCCCCCCCCGCTGTGCTTAGGGATGGATTCTTTGCTGCACAGGCATGGAAAATGGCCATCCCTATGGAGGATCTTCGCTGGACGGTGAGTTTTCAGCCCATTGGAATGCAATGAACAGTTTTCAATGCATTTCAATGGGCTTTTTTATTTCGCTTTATGACGTTTTCGCTCTACAGCGATTTCGCTGGAACAAATTAATGTCATCAAGCGAGGTACCACTATACAATAATTACCAGTTCTAACAGCTGCTTTGAGGTGGATTACCCATCAAGTTGACTATACCAGTTCAAAAGCTTGATCATTGTCAAAGCTTACACATACATTCATTTTACCACTCCTATCTGTATCTTTGCTCATCAGAGCTAAAAATGTCAACACCAACAAGGTTGATGTGCTCTGTAAAAATGAAACAAAATATGGCTTTTCCTGGTTACTTTATTCAATGAGCCAACAAGAAACCTTTATGGTGATATTCTGGAAGATACATTGTTGAAATTGTTACAGATTAAGCTACTGAAAGATAGCTGAGCAACCTCCAGAAGATCTTATTTCAATATCAACCATAAATAAAATTATGTTCCGTGTAATGCAGGGAGGCAGTAGAAGATAGGAGGGCCTGGCGTGCTCTGGTCCATGGGGTCACGAAGAGTCGGACACGACTAAACGACTAAACTAAACGAATGCAGGAATAGCAATCAATACTCTCCCCTTCAAACAAAGATGGTTTCGTTAGAAATAAGAGGAAACAAGAGCACAACTTGACAAACCCAGAACCCTAGCTTGTCATGTATGAGCAGCATGCTAATGCAAGTTTTGCAACAGCTGCAGCTTGTAGTTTTAACAGCCGGATGAAGTGAGAATTTTGCTCCATAGTTAATTTGTTATGTCCCCCAAACATGAAAACATCCCCTTCTCTCATATGTCTCATTTTTAAAAGTAGAGAGAAAGGATATATTATCCTTAGCTTTTATTCTGATTTGTTGCTAAAACAAACATGGGAAAAGACTGTGTACAATCCAATAAACAAACCATGGAATAAGACTCCAAGGTTTACTTCACTGCTCCCAGTACAAGCTGAAGAAACCCAAAGATTCTACTGTCTGCTGCTGGTGCATGCTACTCATATGCAACTTAAGTGCCCCCACACATCCCTAGCTTCTTATGTAGTGTGTATTAACTGCTGTGGTCCACTATGGGAAGCTTCTGCCCAGGGCCGTCAGTTGTTATCTGTTACAGTGAAGAGCAAACTCTTCTGGCAGAGAGCAGTGGCTCCTGACAGGGAGGGTGACCTCCCATTCTGCCTTTTCCCTTAGAGTTGATCATAAGTTCAAGACTTTCTCTGGCCAAACCAAGTGGCGATTAGGTAAGCAGTATCGTATCTCAGAGGTCATCAACCTTTTTCCTACCACAGACCGGGTGCGCCTCTGAGGGAGGCGGGGCTCCCTCACGCTCTTAGACACATGCGCAAAGCGTTGGGGGAACGTGCGCACCAGAAGCGTATGCACGCTCCCCCACTGCTTCGCACATGTGCAGGAGTGCGTGCCGGCGGTAGCAGAAGCCTGGGAGTCTGAGCATGACCAGGCTGCTCCCCCCGGCCACTCGCCTCCTGACAGGCACCAACGAGGCCGGGGTCAGGGTTCCTTGCCGCCCTCTGTGGCAGGAAATTCAAATGGTGAGCAGCCACTGGTGCTGGTTCCATATGAACAAAAAAGGTACAAAAGTTTTCTGTTCTTTTATATTCCTCCTTTGTCAACCTCTATTTCACCCTTTGTATGACAAATCACCTGACCATTTTGTCATCCAACAGCATTCTGGCGGCAATTGCAAAGAAATGATGGTGCAATCAATGAAGGCTGTCAGCCGTTAATCAGAATGTCCAGAAGGAGGGGGAATACTGCATCTGTAGAAGGACCTGGAATGCAGTGAGAAGTGGTGTTGTGTTGTGCTTCGTTTTCTTTTGTTCTGCTTCTCAGTCGGTGGCTGCTTGCCAGTGCTTCCATCCTGGATGCCCTACTTGTTTGCCTGTGCTATGTGCCTCCTTGGGATGTGCTGTGTGCTGTGTTCCCCCCCTCCATTTTCCCCTGTTTTGGGGAGGGGCGCCTTCCACATTTGTTTGATTTTCCTAAATTTGTCATTTGGTTGATTTATTGTGTACCTATTCTGTTAAAAGTGTATGTTTTGTTAGGTATTTTGGTGGTTTTTCTTTTTCATATACTATTGCATGGTTTTGGAGTAGGTTAATTCTCTGTTGCCCTGTCTCTTGTTTTTGAAGCAGTTTTTGAGTGCCAGGAAAGATGACAGAGAAACCTGAAATGAAAGCACCTGAACAAGGTGGCACTTTGCATGTTTAATGAAAGGATCAGCATGCTAAAAACACAAAAATGAAAAAAAATGGAAGAGACACCTAATGAAAACTTGGAATGAAAGAAAGACAATTTTTTTCACCACATACCTCCCTTGCTGATTAAAGGTAAAATGCTGCTAATTAAAGGTAGTTTTAGAATGCATGCAATTCATTTACAATGCAGCAAAGCCATGTGCTGAGAAGCTGAGACGGCCCTAACTGGTCTCCACACTTGTGGCACTAAGTGTTTTTCATCACCATTAAAGGAGGCAAAGAGAGGATATGTTTGGTGAGTTCAATTGCAGCAAATGATTTACTTCCAGAATCTCACTTCAATAATTAGCTTCCACAAGGATGGAGGTGAAAGAATGCCAATACAGCACCAGGTCATAAGGTAGAGACTAATGCATGTGCTAATGAAATGAAGGACATGGGGAGAGGGACCTACCTCTGCTATACAGGTCAGGATAATCAGGCAGAGCTTGCCACTATGGAGCCGGTGTTCATCTGCAAATGAACAATAACATGTCTCACAAGAGCCACCAAACTGTGATGTGCTTAAAGGGTCAGGAAGCACAGAGTCCCAGAGGCAGAACAGAGCAAGAGGTGATGCACCAGCAGCCTCTCATCTTGCAGGCTCCTGGCCAGTGATGGTGAACCTTTTTGAGTGTGCCCAAACTGCAAAAAAGCTTGTATCTGTTATGGAATACCAATTTTTTTGTAATTTTGACTGACTGTGCCTGGTGTTTTTTAATCATCATCATTATGATCATGATGAAATAACAAAACCTCCCCACAGTTCCCGCAGCCAGAAATGAATAGCCACATATGACTAAAAGAGAGTGCTTGCTGTTTACTCCTTCCCTCTCTGCAACCCCCTTTTTTTCGAAACCACACCTGGGAAGCCTCCAGATCCTGCCTCACCTCGCTGTCCCCACCAGCTCATGAAGAAAAGGTCCATGGCCCAAGACCATTTGCCCACTTGCCGGCCCAGTCCCTCCAGTTTCTCATTCCCCCCCCCTCAGCCAAAACGCTCTTTCCGCTTCCCCAGCCATCCTCCTTCTGCTTGCAGCCTGGAGGAGCGGCAACATTGTGGCCATGGCCAACTACTCCAGGTGGGAGCAGCTCTTTCTCCTCAGATTTCTCCATATTTTTTTTTACCTTTTGTTTTTTGGGGTTTTTTTTACCTCAACAACAGTTTTCCTGCCAGCCACAATGAGAAGCCAAATCTTCCAAGCCTCCTTCCTTGCAGGGAGCAGACCAGTAATGGCCGCCATTGCACCTCTCCACTGGACCACTGAACCAGCAGAGGGGCATGCAGGGATTGGAGGACGGGTAAAGTATTTCTCAATGGCAACTTATAGCCCATGTGCCCACAGAGAGGGGCTGTGTGTGCCAGCTGTGGCCCATGTGCGATAGGTTCACCATCGCTGCTCTGGGCTGCTACCATTGAACAGTAACTGGAAGATCTCAGAGGTGTAACAATGTTTTTCCTTTCTAGCATGTGGGTGGTTTGACAGTCTTTCCTTTCTGCATCTTTGGTATTAATCCTTTCCACTGTTTCTGAATATGGGATAAGGTCATTGAGCTTTCTCTTATTGCAGAGATACTGCAAAGTTAATCTCCAAGTAAAAGACAACCTGGTACACAGTTTAAAAAGTTCTCACAGTGGCCGTGCTGATGATTCACATGATAGCGCCTTGGCTTTAAAAGTCATGATATGCACAATCTTTCTGTACTCTCACACAAACAATCTACTCTTACTTCATACCTCTCACAGAAGCCAGAAAACAAACTAGGAAGTCAAGCTACACATTACAGTACATCCAAATTGGAAAATTATAGTCAACAGACTTCCCAGATAACCTAACAGAAAGTTGATTTTTAAAATTAGTTTACATATCCTGGCTTATATGAAAGCCATTACCTAGATCTCTCAGTATACCTCTCACAGAAGCCAGAAAACAAACTAGGAAGTCAAGCTACACATTACAGTACATCCAAATTGGAAAATTATAGTCAATAGACTTCCCAGATAACCTAAACTAATTTTTAAAATTAGTTTACATATCCTGGCTTATATGAAAGCCATTACCTAGATCTCTCAGTTCAGATGTAATAATGGCAAAGGACTAATAAGAGATCACAAAGAAAAGTGCACAAAGCCCAATACACACTGTATTCCATTCTTGATTACCATTGAAAACAATTCTGTGTGTACATACAAATGATACACAACTACATGCAAGTAGGTTTAAGTACAGGTAACACATCTGGCTTCAAATGATGATAATTTAAAAACAAGTTAAAGTGTTTCTATACCAGCAAGGAAGAGAAAGCCCTTAAGAGTTCCAATACTCTGGAGTCTTGTTATCTTTTCACTGCAAGATCTTAAGGCTTATTGCTCAGGTGCTGCAGTCATGCTTTCTCCTCTGAGATTACATGGCAAGCATAACTGTTCTGTGCTAAGTATCTGGGCTTTAGAGTCCTCATATTATAAGTGGAACTGTAAATTTAGCAACACAATATTGGCTATGGATCTGTTGCTATACCCAGTCACACTTTGTACTTTAGCACTGGAGTATTTTATTATTTTACAAGTCCTTCATATGTTATTACCATCTCACAGCTCCCCTTAAGATCACTATTAGTTTTGCCCTTTGTAAGAGATGCTAAGAGAGACACAAAAATGTTCCACTAGTAAGCCAGTTTTGTGCAATTAGGTGCCTGTGTGTGAATACCCTCTCCTCTGTCTCATCAAAGAACAAACAGACAAGGGAATATGAACTCAGAGGAGGGTAAGATAGAAGCTGGTAGGATTTAGTTATAAAATTTTATCCCTACTGAGAATTTGTAAAGGTAGCTTAACAATCAATAACAAATCAATTTTAAAAATAATGTGGATATGTGCATGACTGCAGAGCATCACCCCTACCATTACAGGCAGCATTCAGTTCTTCTAAGCAACTACAGATACTTTAACAGTGGTGTCGAACTGTGGCCCTCCAGCAACAAACACACACAGAATTCAGAAGCAATTTAAAATATAAAGTTTTCAGTACTGAGGAAAAAAAATTAAGCTTCCTCTTAGAAAATGTAATTTACCAAATATAAATTAATTGTCACCCTCCTTGCTGGCTACTACAGAGAGAGAGAAACAGAAGGGCTGTGCTCTGCTCTGTAATATCTCCTTGCACAGATACACAAACTGAATGGAAATGTCAAACTGACTGAACAATGCCACTATGCCAGAGGTGGGAGGAAACTATATATAGCCATTTGGGAGCCCTTTGTCAGAAGATGATTTTGGATGCAATTAAAGGCTAGACAGCAAGGAAAATTTAGTGGTTGTTGTGGGTTTTTTGGGCTCTTTGGCCGTGTTCTGAAGGCTGTTCTTCCTAACGGTTCACCAGTCTCTGGCTGGCATCTTCAGAGGACAGGAATAATGCTACTCCTGTCCTCTGAAGATGCCAGCCACAGAGAATGGCAAAACGTTAGGAAGAACAACCTTCAGAACATGGCCAGAACATCCCATGACCAGGGAGAAAAACATTTAACAAAGAAATGCCTTCATGAAAATTTAGTGGGTTTATACCAATAATTCTTATCTTGTAACGCAATGTATAACAGAAATTTGTATGTCTGCAGCACATCTGTCCAGCTATAGTACTGAGGCATGATCTAAGCATAATCCAGCACCCATACTGTGAAGGAAGTCAACCCCAAGTAGGATTTCTGTTTCCACAATCGTCTTTCTGCACCAGCTCACTTGAAGTTACCTTTACCAGGGAGAAAAACATTTAACAAAGAAATGCTAAAAGAACGTAGAGTATTTCATTTCTGACCCAAAGTTTTGTTTTATGCACTGTCTCTCTTGGGAATCGTCAGAAATAAAATACTACATACAAAGGATTTCTGTATATCTTCATCCTGAAGACAGGATCCACTTTGTTTCAGTGGGAAGGCATTCTGCAATCCTCTGGTTATTATAAATGATCATTTCTCTTTGATATTTAGATTTCCTCCCCTTCAGCATTAGGACTCCCTGGTCTCCAGACACTGTCATCTGACAGTAAGAAATCTGTTCATCGACTTGATATGAAGAACTTTCATCTCCATGGGAAGTCGAGGTATATTCATGTATGCAAGGAAGCTAACAATATCTCCTTCCCTCTCCCAAGAGATTTCTAAAATGCAAGGCCTTACCAAGAGAACAGCTTACCTTTGGTGTCCTGCATGACAATGGAGCTGTACTTCAAGAACGTTATCAGCAGGTTGCTGGTCTGGACATCAGCATCCAGAGGCAATTCCACAGTGCTTATAACTGAGAAAGACATATTAAGAAGTGCTCATCCCCATAAATTTTCAAAGTCCTCCTAGCAGAGTTAAAGAAGATGCCTCTAGTACCACAAGTACCCCTTTTACCTTGTAACGTCTTGTTCTGCCACTACAGAAGGGACATTTTTACCCAAGGACATTGCTATGTGCAAGAACTATACTTAAGAATGCAAAATATAATGGCCAAACCTATATGTTGCAAATTAATAATACTACACTTGATCTTAGCCAAAAGGATGAGAAGTGATAAACAGTTGTTTTAAAGGTAATTTTAATGTGCATTTATACTTGTTTATTATCATTTTATACACTGATTTTTATTTATATGTTTTGCTATGTAACATTGACATGGTCTATTGACTTATTCAATAAAAACGTATGCATGTAAACTAATAATAATAAATGGGTTAAGCTGATTCTGACTTATGGCAACCCTTTCCTAGAGTGGTCTTAACCGACTAGATAGGCAGGATATAAATAAAATAAAATAAAATAAAATAAATTCCTATTACTTACATATGTTGGTTTAAGTGCAATTATGTAAATCTCAGCCACATACTGTTACTCATTAGGGAGATGTCACCTGTAAACTTTATCACACACTAAGCTGTAATACAGCCCCGTGATGAGGCATACAAGCTGTGGGTTGTTAACTAATGGCAATTTGCTGCTGAACTTTGCATTTACATCAGCATATACATTGAGTAAGGTTCTAGTCAATAAAGGCAGTTTGAGGCAGGTCAGTCTGTTAACAAATCTCTCCTGTATGTCATTCTTCCATGACTAACCGATGGAGCAGAACACTACAAACAGGGGAGTACTGCTTATAAGATCCACAACTGAGCAGCACACCCCGACATCACAAATACACAGCCTTCCTGTAAGAGCCTAATAGCCTAACCCACTCAGCCATTTAGCTAATATGTATTCAATAACTACAGTGGGTCCTTCTGGAGCTGCTAGGATGCTCATTGCGAATAATTATTTAATGGCAAAAGCAAAATCAGTACTTAAGACACCATGGTGATAGGGATTTTCATGCAATGGAAAAGGTAGGTCTTTTCTCTCTTTTTTTAAAATCACTGTGAAGAAAGTTACCGCTTATCATAGCTCAGTTTCTGCTGCTCTGACCCTTGAAATGAAAAAGGTATTCTTTTGAAACTTGAAAGGATGCTTAATCCATGTTACAAGCTAGAGAAACAGATTTCAGATCATAAATCCCTCTGCAAACGTTAAGAGCTGAGAAAGGAATCAAAATCCATATACAGAGCTGAACTAAATTCATTTGAAGAACCAAAAGAGAAAGAAAGTTGCTTTTTACTTTGAAATTGAGATGTTTAGCAAGTGAAAGAATATTTTACTATTACATCGAGAGGCTTCTGCATAAAGAGAGTGCAGATAATGCTACTAGGCAGAAATGTTGGGGTGCAAGATGAAGTAGATTCCTATTCTGCCACAAGACAGAGGAGAGAGAAAAAGCAGAAGTAGTTAAGAATTTTGAGGCGGCAGTTCGAGACAAAAAAAATCACTGTTAATCAACCTCCCAGCAGTAAGAAGACAGCACTCACTATGCCTGTCTGCAACTGTCTGGGTTTGTCTATGTAAATGAGAGAGTTTTGAAGGTAAGCATAATTTTGCCTGCTCTATAAAGAAAATATGTGTGGGAGGATACATTAGCGATGAGCAATCTGAAAGAAGCCTAAGCAGCTCCCACCTCCAGCATCATATGGAATACATATGCAGAGAAGCAGAAGACTTTTTTTAAAAAAAACTGAGTCTTTTGATATCCATAGCAACCAAAAAGAATTATCCTCTGAGAAGAATACTCCTTTGCCAGGATATCAGAGTGACCTGAATAGCAGCAATAAGAGAGGAAGAGACTCTGATAAACTGAGCTATTGAACCTCATTACATTCTTTCATTCAGCTATTTGTGATGCATAAACCAGTGAAAACATACACTCATGAAATCTCTGCAATCAGGTATAGACAACTGAACCTATTTTCTCCAGGATGACCAACAACAACTTTGTGCAAGAAACTGCATATTGCCTCTTGTTTAGAGACAACTACCTTCCTATGTCACAAACACACACTCAGGAAAATCCTCCTTTGGGGCCAATTTATGATCAAGCCACACAAAACCCTCACACTGTGGATAATTCTTGTTAATAACAAGGTCTCAGTTGAAAATCTAGTTGAATTATGAAGCCTTAGCTCTCCACAAGGAGACTGGCCAATTGGCTCCTTCCTCGGAAGAGAGACATGTGACAGGCTACCAGAGAAAAGGTGAAACAGCTTACCATCAGAAGAAGGTGGTGTCGTTCCGAGTGGAGTGACGGGAGTTGTTGGAACTGGGCTTGCTGGCATTGTCACTAATCCAATTTCAGGATGACTCTAGGCACACAGCAGACACAGATAACTTATATTATATTTTGAAACAGGGGGTGGGGGTAAAACTGAAACGTATGCACACCAAATAAACTTCTCCTAATGCTTTTGCATTGTAAAATACTTCATTTATAAATTATCAGTACAAGACGTTGTATTATTTGGCATATTTATGATATTTGAAAATGTAAAATCCTTAATTTTGTACAAATGAAACTGTGAGTATACCCTATATCCAGAACTGTAAACTGCTGCATTCTGGGCATTGCAATACACAAGCAATGAAGATCATCCCATGTGTTCCTTGAATGAAGAAGTCAGCATTCACTGGGTACAGATATGTATCATGAATTTCAGTGACATATTTTGTCAATCGCATGCACAGAAGTTACCGTTGTCCAATTCTGTAGATTGTCTTACACAATCATTAAGGATACTGCCCTATATTCTACTGTTATCTTCCCAGTACAAATTTCCTGGAATGTTTAGTAATTAAAATTTTGTATTAAAAAACAGCATTCCACTCAATCCTAAAGAAGTATTATTTCACTGGAGTGTTATTTGAGGTTCTATAGAATTTCCAGTTTTTAACTGGAAAACCAGAACATTTATCTTCAAGGGGGAGGCAGGAGCAATGGAATTTTAATTCCAGGCCACTATTTCTGTGTAGTCTACACTTTGTCAAGTACCATTTGGTCCTACTTCTTCACTACCTGACTGTACCTGCAATGCCCACATGAAATCTGTCATTTTGTTGCCGTTTGTACACAAAAGAAGGGAAAGTGTACCTTTAAAGATTTTTGGCCCTCCAAAAAAACACAGTTGCTGAGGAAGCAAGACTTTTCTCCATGTTTTTACATCACCCTCTCAACATGTTCCTGTTTAAAGAATGAGGTGATGCATCCTGTCGCCACCCTGCCACTTAAACTAGGTGTTTCAGGTACGGAGGACCTATTATTTGTTTTCATTTTCTCTACCTTCTTTCAATAGTTGCCTTTTGCACTTTTTCGCAACCAGTACCTCCCCATCTAATTTCTGACTTAACTGTATTCTCCCTTGGGAGAATTATCCATGAGCATGGGCAAGATTTCAAATTAGCCCACTATTCCTCTTTATATCCAGCAGTGAAGTAATGAAGTCTGTCTCACCAAGTGCCTTTCATTTCAATGCACTACCAAATGTTCGCTCGGCAGCAGGCAGTGCAATGATCTGAAATGTGTTACAGAGCTCCCAATCTGCTTTTAGCTACTGTATACAACATTTCACTAAATTGCACGCAGAAGCCTGTCATGGCTGAGATCTGGAAAGTCAGATTTACTAATGGCTCTTATCAGCATATCTTGTGAGGGAACACGCAGCCTACTACGGCAGGCCCAGTTTTTGAAATCAGCATCTAACGGAAGCACAGAGTGCTGTCCTCTGAAGATGCTAGGTTTACTAATGGCTCTTATCAGCACACCTTGTGAGGGAACACGCAGCCTACTATGGCAGGCCCAGTTTTTGAAATCAACATCTAATGGAAGCACAGAGTGCTGTCCTCTGAAAATGCTGGCCACAGAGCCTGCGAAACGTTAGGAAGAACAACCTTCAGAACATGGCCAAAGAGCCCGAAAAACTCACAACAACCATATAACAGAAGCTTTGAAATAAACTGCACATGGAAAATATTGCAGGTGATTCTATTTCTATAGAAGAAAATGGAAATGTTGCTTTTACAGGGTTTTATAACTCCTTTTCCAGCTGCAGGATAACAGCACCAACTAGCAGTGAGATACTAGCACTGCAGTTCTAAAATAAAACGTCCAACATTATGTGTTAAAACTAAGAACTCCTGCATATGTCATCAAAAATGCTGTGAAACCAACATCTACCTTATTTAGCTATGCTTTGAGCTGCAGCCTATTCAAACACACAGCATTAAACATATTTTACCTGGACTTCAAACATCAGGTACACACATACATGGAAAGCATGTGCACACACATCAGAAGCAAAGTTTATCATTAAAATGAATGTAGTACCCCAAGGTCTTCAGAACATTAATTTGAGTGATGTAAGTGTATTGCCACCATAGTAGTAGCTGTATTCTGTTCAGAAACATTTAAACATGATTTAAAGAACTAACAAGGCATTAATTGCAGTAGCATTAAGCAGCACACAGGAACAGGGCCCAATCCTAGAAGAGTCATACTGGTAAAATAATAAAAATACACTGTTCCTTGAAGTGCTCACTGAAGAAAGTTATGCATCACTGCACCACAGGGGATGATAAGAGACCAAACAGCAATGGCTGCAAATGACACAGTATTTGTCATCACTATTAGATTAAATAGAACAAAAAAGATCAGAGACAAAACCAATGTTCTACTTAAATAGGAGAAGGGGCAGTACTGGACATCAGTCAACAGATGGAACTACTCAAAGCCCTTCATTTTAGATCAGGGTTGAATAACTTCTCATTTTCCTGATGTTGTTGAATTCATAATGCCTATGAACCAGCCCCATATTTGCATACCAAACTGCATATAAGATGAATTCCATGATCTGTTAGAATTGCTACATTATAGTTTATTTTCCACTCCCATCTTCAGATATATATATATATATAAAATTTTCCCCACCTGTGCCAATACAGTGATGAAATTTCGATTCAAGTGAACAGCTTCATAAAGAGCCAAAAGGATAGCCTCATTCGTTCTACAAGAAGCATATAAGAGAAACATATTTGTTTCAGCAATATAAATTTACACCTGGAACACATGGCAAATTTGAACACTCAACCCAACAAAAAAAAATCTTCACTTTAGAAAGCTAGATCCTTTCAGAATATAGTATCTTCCTTTAGGCTTTCAAACCTATTAGATACTTGACAAAATCTACACCCAACTCATAAGCACTAATAGAATCACTTTGTTTTGTACCACTCAATTTCTCTTCATTCTTTATCACACTTAGTTTTAATACACTGCATTTTATATTTCAGATACAGCACCCTGCCCTGATTGCCACTGCTCCCCTACAGATGGATAAATACATTTAAAGAGGAAAAAGGCCTAAAGAATAAAGTATGGTCATGCCATGGTATGCCATTTAGAATCAAAAGGCCAAATTGTGTGTTTATCTGTTTGCAGGGTTGTATTTTATTTTATCATTTATTATGCAAAAGTGTGTGGACCACAACAAACTATGGCAAGTTCCTAAAGAAATGGGACTGCCTGACCACCTTATCTATC